ATGAATTTTTACTCTTCATATGAAAAAAGTAAGAATAAACTTGTCTTAGGTGTCCAATAAAATGTATATATATATATATATATATATATATATATATATATATATATATATATATATATATATATATATATATATATATATATATATATATATATATATATATATATACATATACACATATATATATATATATATATATATATATATATATATATATATATATATATATATATATACACATATATATATATATATATATATATATATATATATATATATATATATATATATATATATATATATATATATATATATATATATATATATTTATATGTATATATATATAAATATATATATATATATATATATATATATATATATATATATATATATATATATATATATATATATATATATGTATATATACATATATATATATATATGTATGTATATATATATAAATATATATATATATATATATATATATATATATATATATATATATATATATATATATATATATATATATATATATGTATATATACATATATATATATATAGTATATATTACTGTTACCCTCAGTATCAGGAATTAGCTAAATGCTAATATTTAAAATATTATTTGCTACTCAGAGTTTCATGTGTTATAAATCGCTAAAAAAACCTTTTTTACTTCTACAAAAAAATTTTTTTACTTTCTAAACAAACTTAAAGTTGATAAAAATTATGTTACTTTTTTTACACCTACAATTTATATTTTATAAGCAAAGGTTTTCTGTTAATTTTTTTTTTTTTAATAACTAAATTAATTTCACTATTAAAACTATGGCAACAGTTTTATTTTTGCAACGTCGCTAATTTCCTAAAGAAAACAAGAGTAAAAATTGTTTATAAATTTTATTTTTACAAAAACAAATATGTACAATTACTTTACACATTTAAAACATTGAGTAGTTGACTTGTATTTTTGTAAGTTACTTCCTTTTTATTTTTGTATATTTGCAATAAAAAAGAATGTTCTTTAACAAATAATACCTTTTTTTTAAAGGAATTTAAAAAGTCTAATAAAAAAAGTGATATGAGAGTGTACATTTAAAACACTTGTTTTAAAATATTATAACCGTTTTGGTTCTTTTAGTCTTTATTATTGAAAAGATATGAGTGAACACTTTTACCTTAGGTACTATTACACACTTACCGCCCTCACTATTTCTCGGGATTGTACCAGCGCACTATGTGTCGCTGTAATACAAAATATGGAGAAATTGGCTATAAATAAAGAAGCATTCGACATATTAAACTGATTTTTTCACAATACATTGAATTTTTGTTTATCTTTCTATATTTAAAAGAAAAATATTCGGTTTTTATAAAAAAAAATTATTGAATTTATTTCGGTTGATCCAGAATTCTTGACTAATCCGGAAAACTTCATAAGTGCGGATAATTTTATTAAAAAAATAGTAAGCGCCTATGTTTTAAAGAATTTTACAAAATATATCATAAAGACGAATTAATAATAAACAATATCATTGAATGTAAACTTATTAAAGTTATAAACAAATCTGCTATCATCTAATTCTTTGCTCCATGGCTTCTTACAATGTTCCTCGACTTTCTATTTGAATAGATGTTTTTTATAACCTGTGGCTACAAAAATAGCCATCACTATAACATTTTAGTTCGTGGTATTGGTCTTCCTTGTTAATTACTCGTTAAAATTTATTATTTATTAAACTTTTTTTTAAAACAAAAAACTACAAAACTTTGAACTTTAAACAATATTAAGATTGCTTTATATAAAAAAGTAGTCATAACTATTACCATAAACATTAAAAAAAAAACACTCAGCATTATGTTAATTTTACCTTTAGAGGTCGTCCATAAATTACGTCACGCAGTTTTTGACAGTTTTTGACATTTTTTGACATTATGTGTGCAATGTATATATATATATATATATATATATATATATATATATATATATATATATATATATATATATATATATATATATATATATATATATATATATATATATATATATATATATATATATATATATATATATATGTATATATATATATATATATATATATATATATATATATATATATATATATATATATATATATATATATATATATATATATCCGACTCCGATTCCAACTCCAAAGCAAAATTTTTGAAAAATTCTTTGAATTCTTAAAAAATATTACCGATAAGTTAAAAGTTTCTTTTTTGACAAGTTTATGAAACGTTCTTTGAGGTTTAGCATGTAATTGAATGATTTGTACATGCACGTGCAATGCCGAGAAGTTTTACTATTTGAGTCGGAGTCGCGATTTTATTTAGCGACTCCGACTCCGCTAAAAATATCGCAACTCCGCAACTCTAACTCCAACTCCACAGCCCTGATATTTAGTGAGAAACAACTTTTTTTTTTCCACAAATATTTTTGGACCATGTTACTACAGAGGTAGCGAGAATATTAAAGTCAATTAATTGCAGAAAATTTATAACAAATAAAAAACTGGCTACCTCTGTAGCATCTTTACGGACTCACAAAAACAATGATCCAAACATTTTTTTTTTACTTTTCTTTGATTTAAATTTACAAAATATATCATTTAATTTATAATATGCAAAAAAAAAATTGGAGAAATTTGAAAATTATTATATGTAATATAAAGATTTAGTGAAACCCAGGTTTTCCTACCCCTGAAAATCCCGCGCTTCAAAAGGAAAATTAAAAAAATTTTGAAATAAACATTTTTATTAAGGTCCACTAAATTAAAAGTAATCTTTAAAAGAACCCTTTTATCCCCCCCCCCTCCATATTTAAACATTCCAATTGGATTGGCATCAAAAAAGACGAAACAATACAAAAACCTTATATTTTTAATATAAAGTTTTTAATTATGCGCGTAATTTACTCAAAAACAGCATATTTTCTAACAAAGATAATTATTTGCAGAGTATTCCAAATCAAGTGAAACTTTTCAAAAACCTTGCTAGTTATATGACCATGTGCTAAGTCAAAACTAAAGTTTATATTTTTATTAATTGCTTTGAAATTTACAATTTAGTATAAATCCGTAAAAAATGGTCCAATTTACCCAAACTTTAATTTGAATAAGATGCCATTATATAAATATTTTTGACTCAGCACATTCATATAACTAAGTTTTATCTCTGTAAATATTTCTAAATTTCAAAGACTAAAGATATCTTTAATAAAATAATTATTAAATCTTAAACAAAACTAAAGATATCTTTGTTAAAAGTTTGGTAGAAAATCTTTAAATAGAGAAAAAAGGAATTTTTGGATGTTTACCCCTTTTTAAAGAACAAAATTAGGCCAAACTTATAACTTTTTTTCCATTATATATTTTTATTGTTTATAAAGGTTAAACTTTCCAAAAAACAAAAAAATAATTTTTTTTTTCAGACTTTTAATAGTGGATAGCTACCTTGATTAATGTTAGCTTGTTTTGGTTAAAAAAAGTTTAAAATAATAAAATTGAAATTTCTTTCAGAAAAGTAAAATCCTATTTCCACTTCGCGACGCATAGTGTAGCGCATCCGGGTCGCTTGGATTTGAGGGCGATTACTCCTTCTATGTCACCATGGAAACAATTTTTATAGCTCAATTTAATCAGTCAAGATTGTTTTTAACCTTTCCAGTTGCAAAATGATTATTATTAAAACTTATAATTAATTAATACGCTGCGACGTAACTGATTTTTAAAATTTATAATTGATTAAATTTGAATAAAAAAAGATAGAGAGTAGTGTTTTATTTTCAGCAATACTTTATTTGAAATTTGATATAGAAAATATTTATTATTTGTGGTTTTAAATCTGTACTGTACAACATAATGTAGGTTTTTAATCAATTTGTCAATTAATCAAAGTGCTACATAACCGATAATGATAAATTGCATTACAATTACACTGAAATTGTATCTGTAATTTACAGATACTACCTTTATTGTCTATATCTTTTTTATATTCGCTGAGAATTTTTAACTTATATTAAGAAACTTTTTTTCTGTTGTGTTATCTTACTTGTGGATTTTAAATTATATATTTTATGAATATTTTTATGGATTAGATTCTAATAGATAATAATTCTGTAAACTTAAGTTATGTAGATGGATTTTTTTTGTTTAATAAAGTAACCATTAACACACAAAATAGTATAAAAAACATAAACAAAATTATATTCAAAAATTTCTTTTTAATTTTATCCATCCATATGATATTTACAAGTTTTATGTTTTGAAATATTAAAAGTTAGGATCAAACGATTTATCAAACGATTGTTTTATGATCAATTAAAACTATTGAAGTTGTAATATAAATTATTGCAAATAACTAAAAATGTTACACATATTTTTATCATATTAAAAAGAGTTCCAGTTACATGTGGTAAAGAATGCAATTTATTATGTTTTTTTATATTTTTCTAATAGCTAAGTTTCTGTTAAATTTTTAAAATTATTTTGTTATACTTTTAATAAAAACTTTATTTGGTTTGATTGGTGATAAGACAATTGATTCATAATAAAACTGTCTTTAGTCTTTAATTCTTTATTTTTATATTTTAAAACACAAAACTTGTAAATACTTTATGTTATTTATAAACATTTTATATATGTTTAGCTAAAATAAAAACTGAAAACAAAAATAGTTACCTAGTGGGCACAGAACGTTTGCTGGGTGTCTTAAGGACGTCCTATGGCTTTGCTATGTCCATAAGACTTTGTATAGATGTTGCACAAACTTCTGTACCCTCTGGGTATAAATAGCTTGTTTAATTATATATTATTTCTATTTTGTATATAGTGATATTATTTCTACTTTGTATATCAATATATATAAAGTCGGAATAATAAATATATGACATACAAATAAAATTGACATACAACTAAAATTTTTAAAACTTTGAATTTTTTTTTTACAAAATTACTTTATTTAAATTATTTTAGCATTTTCCTAAATAAGTAGTTGTACATTTTTACACAATGAAAATATGCTTATTGCAATATTAAAAGTTTCACTGTTGCAGGAAATCAATAAAAATGATTGGTTTTGTTCTCATACTGGCTATTTTTGGTAAAGTTCAGAATTTAAATGATGCAAGTTGTGGTCAAACTTTTTTTAGTTTTAATTCAGGTTCTATAGCTAGTTCTACAAATGGAAATTGTGTATATAAAATAGATGTTTCATCTCAATTCCGATGGGTTCTTTTGGAATGGACTGAATTTAGATTTGATGCAACAATGCCTAACTGCAATGATGGTGATTCTGTTGAAGTTTTAACTGGGTATGATTTATATTTTCTAGTGTTGATTTTAACAAACTATTTTTTTATAGTTTATGATTTAAAGTACATGATTTAATAGTAAAAATAGGTAAAGTAAAAAAATAGTTATGTGATTATTACTGTTTTGTTAGATAAAACAGTGAATAAAATTTGTTAGATAAAGCAGCTAGTTAAAAAGTATTGTTTATATTAAAGCTATTTCTTTTCATGATTTTTAAATTTACTTTTTTTAAAACGTTTTTTGTCATTTATTCCATACTTGTGCGGTTTAAAGAGCTATTTGTTTAGATGTTGTTTTTGAATTTACATATAATATTAGATTTAAGTCAATTTTTTATAGTCAAAATATTTTAACTTGTTTTGTCGATCAGAAAAAATAATTTATTTGTGAAACTACCTATGAGAATTTCTATCTAAAGTTTATTAGCTCCTCCGTAACATTATCAGGTCTTATGATATGAGTTAAATGCGCTTGTTATAATTTCTTCCAAACCAATTTTTTGAGTTGCAAATTGGTAACAACTGTGCTTGTAAAAAATTTTTTGTTTGACATCATTTTTTTTATCAATAAATGTTATAAAGTAGTATCTAGCAGTGCAATTCTTTGTCTGTTAGACAAAAATTATATTATGCTACATTGTTTGTGTTTATTTCAGGGTTGATAGGTATATAAACCATGTAGTTTAAACCAAATGGTTTAAACCAGAGTCTAAACTATTTGAAAAATATAAATTTAAATCAAAATAATATTTTTTAAACAAGTTTTAATTTACAGTAGGAAAGTAAAACAGGGTTATGTTTACAAATAGAACTGTATCTTTCATGTAAATATTACAAGCATAAAGATACTTCTGAAAATTAATTTGAGACCACAATGGTGTCAATTTAAGAAAAAAAAATTTATACGAGCAGATTTTAAAGATTTTAAATCTTCAATGGGGTATAGAAATGGCACATTTACTTTGTGGGGAATTCGATGTAAGTTTCCCAGAGATATGAAAAAAATTAAAATTTTACCAACTTTGGTTTTATTATTGTATTACCATTTGACTGAAAATCTAATTGTTTACAAATATCAACAATTCAGGCTTGGTTGGGAAGTGATTGCTCTCAATTGCTGGCAACAGAAATAACATTTAGTTGCGAAAAGCTGGTCAGATTTTTTAGTCGTTTTGAGAACATTTCAAAAAGCAAAAAAAAATGTGCAAAGATTAATTTTTTGATAAAAGAAAATTACAAAAAAAAAAAAAAATTAAGAAAACAAAATATCTTTTAACGCAAAAAAACTTAAGGCAAAATAAATTATGTTTAGAACAAATATTTTCGAAACATCGCTCTTTTATAATTTTTTTATAAAATTAAGTGATATTTTTTATATAAAGTAACATCTTACGATTGTTTAAAAAGGAAACAAATGTTCTTTATTTATCAAAGTTTGACAAATTTAAGTTTTATCTAAGCTAAATTATTTTATAAATAAAAAAGTTAATTTTTTTAATACCTATTTCATGTTTCGCGTAGTTTGAAAAGTTTAACATATTTGAAACAATTCTTTTTAGTAAGATAAACAAATGAAATAATTAAATCATTGAATTACTATAGAAATTAAATTAACTAGATAGAAATCAACTAAAAAAGTTAAAAATACTTTATGATGAGGAAGCAAAACTGCTTCATAATATTGCTGATGATGTTTAGTGAGTGGGCTTTTTAATTTTAATTAGTATTTAAAGCAGAAAAAAGTATAACAAGTTTTTAAGAATGGCAACTTAAGCGAAAATAGTTAGATTTAGTAAACCAATATCTAGAAACTTTTCTTTATATCTAATAACTTGCTATATATATTTGTATTCTTTCGTTACCTCAGGCGCGGTGCTTGTTCATCTGCGAGTTACTTTGTATGCATTGTTTGTGTTTAGTAACCAGAAACCTCTTATATTTTTGTTACATAATTAGTTTTATTTACTTTAATGAATATTAAAAACTTCAATGAAAACGCAATTATTTTTGTAAGTCTTTGTTTACAAATTAAATCGATAAAAAACAGATGCACAAAATTACATTTACATAAAAAATACATATTCTTTAAATAAAAAATAAGTATATACTAATAAAATCTATAATTTATTATAAACTTTCAAAATTTTGACAATTAAAATAATCTATATTTAAAACATTTATTTTTGTAAACAAATAATAGTAGTTTATAAGATTTGCAGATGTGGCTCCGAGAATGAGCCATGAGTTTGCAAATATTCTTTTTATTTTTCCGCACCAAGATGTTTTAAGTTTTTTATGTTTCCATGTATGTCTGTAAAACAAAAATTTTTTGTTTCGTACATCAACTTAAATGTTCTCAAAACGACTAAAATACCTGGCCAGTTTTTTGCAACTAAATATAATTTTCTAGGTCAGTATTCGAGAGCGATCGCTCCTGCTTCCCAACCAAGCCTGTATTATATATATATATATATATATATATATATATATATATATATATATATATATATATATATATGTATATATATATATATATATATATATATATATATAAACACACACACATATATATATATATATATATATATTTATATATGTAATTATGTATATATATATACATGCATATATACAGTCTTCAGCAAAAATAGCTTTTAATTGTCACAAGTCTTCTCAAAAATGTTTTTTATTTAGTTATTTTTTAAAAACTGCAATATAATTTCAATATGGATGAAAAAACTTCAAAACTTCAAAAAAATATTTCATCATATTCAAAACTATTTTGAATATGATGAAATTTTCTATTTAAATATAAAAAAATAAAAAAATATAATTTGTGTGCTAAAAATTTTTTTACTTGATTATTATGTAATATGACTTTGAAATGTATACAAATAGCTCTAAGTAAAACAAAAGTGCTAAGTATAACTTTGAAAAACTGTAATCTTAACTTTACAAGTTACATTCAACTCATTTATTAAAAGTTATATTACATATTCCTTTTTTAACAACTCAACGTTTCTCCATTATAATGCTTACCAAAGTTTTCATATTCCATGACATTTTTATTCACAAAGAAGAAAAAAAAAATGAACTTTTATAATAATATATAGAAATATGATCAATTGTTTTTATAAAACTGCATTGTATTGTATAACAGTATTTTTATATTATAGTTTTATTAAAACAATTGATTATGCTATAGAATTTTTATATTTTCACATATTTGATTAAGTAACTAAATTATTAAATAAATATAAAAATTAATTTAAAAAAACCTGTTAAAATGAAATAGAAATAGTTTTTGAAATGCCTCTTTTTTTTTTTTTTTTTTTTTTTTGCTTAAAAACAAATAATATTCCTGAAAGAAGAAGAGACAAAATAAAAATTCAGCACAAATATCATGAATTATCATCAAAAAATAGTTTAAAATATAGCATTATGTCACTCACTTTAATGTAGAACACAAGTTTAAGAGAAAAAAAATCATTACCGATATTATACCAGTATTACCAGTATTGAATTATTCAATACCAAAATACCGGTATTGAAAAATGATTTCTGTATTGGATGCATTAGTGATGAGCAAATAAATGTAATTATATTATTTGAAAAAGTGATGTAGAAAGTGAAGCCTATAAGGTAGATACGTATAAATGAACAAACCAATATATGATTTTATATAAACATATATTCATGCATTACATAGATGTATTTATATCGGGGACATATGTAGTCCTATTACTTGTCATTATATTAAAATTTTAAAAATCTATTTTACAAACAGATAGCAGTTTATATTTTTGCTTTCCTTTTAAAAAAAACAAATAAAATATTGCAAAATCAGTCTGTTTAATGCCAGCTAAAAGCTGATTTGTTTTGCTTTGCCTTATTCAGTTTTGTTGCTAAAAGTAATAATCACCTTAAAGAAATGAAAAAAAAAACAGTTCATAAGTTATTTAAATTATTAATTTTTTTCTATTTAAATTTGTTTAAATTTCCTATTTTGTTAGTTTTGCTTTCTTTGTTTTTGAAACTTAGTTTTTTTTTGCAAAGTTTATAAACTATTAATATAATTAAACTTGCAAATGGCCATGAACAATTTGTCAAAATAAAAGCTTATATTTGTCAAAGGAGACAAATCAACCGCATGTCTCCTGAGAAGGCTTGAAGTTATCAAAACGAAATAATAAAATTATTTTTTTGTTTTGATAACTTTAGAATATGGTAGAATACATGAGGAAATAAGAAAATTATATTATTTTGTGACAAAAGTATTGGTGTTGAGACAGGCTTGGTCAGGAAGGCGTGCGATTTCACGGCTTTATATGACCATGCAAATAATATTTTGTTTTGATGATTTGACCACAGTTTTAACATTTTAATAAAACGCTGAAACTTATCTTAGAAAAATCTTCTTAAAAAGATAATGAAAAATAAAATAAAAATAGCTTAATAATAAATAACTAAAACAAAAATAAAAAAAAACAAAATTGTAACTTAACTAAAATAAATAATAAACAATAAGATTATTCAAACTACCTTTACAATTATGTTTAAAAATAAATCACTTTAAACTTTTACTTATGTTTTTATAATATAAAACTAGTAGTGTCCCGTCTGCTTTTTTACAGCACCATATAAAATTATATTAACAGTAAAAGAATAAAAAAGGAATAGTAGTAATTGATAAAAAAATGTAAATAAACACTTTTGTTTTTATAAAAAACATCATTGCGCATTAGTGGTGTTTTTTTAAAATATGATTAAACTTAATGAGGAAACTTTTTTTAAAAACGCTTTTTTTTAGAAGCGGGGAAGGGGAAGAGTAAAATGCGTTTCACAAAAATGATAACTGACTTACAAACCAAAAAATGACGAACAAAACTATTCCATTAATTGATTATTCAATTTAATTTGTTAATAATTTAATTTGCTTATTTTAATTAATAATTTTATTTAAAGACTAAAGAAAAAAAGTTATTATAAAAAATTATATATAT